GCGGCACCGCGGGAGAACGGGCCAGATGGGAGCTTCGGCGGCCCCCTTGGGTGCGGGTACCGGGTCGAGACCCGGGAATTCCTCGCCTCCCCGGGGCTCATTTTGACAGATCGGGCGTGGCGGTTAGGGGGAGCCGTCTCGGAGGTACTCAGGACCTCTGGCTTAAGACCCCGTTCCCTAGATCCATGGGGTTGTCAGGCCGCGAGGCACGCTGATGACAGTTCAGTGGCGGAAAGGGCCGCGTGTCCGTCTCTGTCGCTGCCCTGTGCGCTGTCTTGCCGGTGACACGTGGTCTTAGTTAATGCCATGCTCTGCCCAGAGGCTTCGCAGGATGGAGTTGGGGGTCTCAGAGTACCAGAAACCTGGGTCTCCTAGTCTCAATCTGTTTCCCTCTGCCGCAGCGATTTTCTCATTCTCCCTGGGTACATCGACTTCACTGCAGACCAGGTGGTGAGTATGATCAGAAATTGGGTTCTGAACTTCAGGGTGGGCTGAAGATGCTGCAGTTACCTGGTCTCAGCCTTTCCTTACCAGATTGGGTTTGGGGTAAATGCTGTGGAGTGGTTTTTTTGTTGTTGTTTCGGTCTTTGGTTTTTTTTTTTTTTTTTTCCGGTACCGGGAATCGAACTCACGACCTTGCTCTTGCCAGGCAGGCGCTGTGCCGCTGAGCTATATCCCCAGCTCCTGGAATGGTATTTCTGGCTGGCGTGCAAATAATACAGAACCCATTTGGGAGGAACTGGTACTATCCTGAAAAGTCAGAGGAGTTTTGCCACACTAGCGGTCCTTTGTCTCTTTAGGATCTGACTTCTGCTCTGACCAAGAAGATCACACTCAAGACCCCACTGGTTTCTTCCCCCATGGATACAGTCACAGAAGCGGGGATGGCCATTGCAATGGCGGTGAGCCCCACGGGGTTTGGGAGGAGACGGGCAGGGCCTCCCTTAAAGACACGCAGGCACACCTCACTTACCTTTTGTTCTTCTTGTAGCTCACAGGAGGTATTGGTTTCATCCACCACAACTGTACACCCGAATTCCAGGCCAATGAAGTTCGTAAAGTGAAGGTCAGAAGGGCAAGGATCATGGCCAGGAGCTCCTGGGAATTGCACGGAGGTGGACTGCAGTGGGAGCTGGGGAGCTGTTCTCTTAGTTTAGGGTCCTTTCTGCCTACAGTGGGTTCAGTTACTGAGAAGGTCCTAAGATCTTGGTATTTAAACTAGGAAGAGCACCAGCTGCACGGTACTTCCAGCCTACCCATTTTGGTCAGAGCAGTTGGTCCTGTAGTTCTGCCAGAGGGGGATTTTACTTACAGACCTGGGCTTTAGACAGAGCGCCTGAACGTGGTTCAGAGGTACAAGGCACTTTCTCACTATTCCTTCCAGAAATACGAGCAGGGATTCATCACCGACCCTGTGGTTCTCAGTCCCAAGGACCGTGTGCGGGACGTTTTTGAGGCTAAAGCTCGGCATGGCTTCTGCGGCATCCCCATCACAGACACAGGCCGGATGGGGAGCCGCCTGGTGGGCATCATCTCCTCGAGGGATATCGATTTTCTTAAGGAGGAGGAGCATGACCGCTTTCTGGAAGAGGTGGGTGGCCCTGGCGGAGCATGGCCAAGCTCTGGCAACCCAGACAGAAGGAAGGTAGCTTCTGTTGTCCACCTGACATGTTTGAGGACCTCTTCCGTGCTGGAAATATGGCCAGCTGTGTTACTCACTGCTTTATAGGTTTGTGCCTTCTCTTCCCCCGAAAGGCCTTGCTAGTATTCATGTTTTGTTCTTCGCTACCACCGAGGCCGGGCATCGCGCACAGGCCGTCAGCCCTCCTCTCCTGGGGCTTTCGTTGCTCGGGTGTGGCGTGCCCCCTGCAGCACAGAGGCTGCTGTATTCTGGGACTGTTGAGGTCTGTGGAGCAGGTGTGGTCTGGATTCAAACAGACGGATTTGGCGGTTCAGGAGCCTCCCCGAGTTAGGGCAGGGCTGTCTGTGGAGAGGTTTCATCTCTGACTGGCCCTCCCTCCTGCCTCCCCTCCTTCCTAGATCATGACGAAGAGGGAAGACTTGGTGGTGGCCCCTGCAGGCATCACATTAAAGGAAGCAAATGAAATTCTGCAGCGCAGCAAAAAGGGTGAGTCCTAGAGGTGGGAGGGAGCCTAGAACTAATGCTCATGGTCCTGATTCACGCCCTATCCTGGCTTTAGGAAAGTTGCCCATTGTAAATGAAGACGATGAGCTGGTGGCCATCATTGCCCGGACAGACCTGAAGAAGAACCGGGATTACCCACTGGCCTCCAAAGATGCCAAGAAGCAGCTGCTGTGCGGGGCCGCCATTGGCACTCACGAGGATGACAAGTATAGGCTGGACTTGTTAGCCCAGGCTGGTGTGGATGTGGTGGTTTTGGTGAGCTACTGCGTACACGAAGCGGGACAGTAGGGGCAGGTGCTGTATCACCGTCTGATTGGGACTTCTTTTGTGTTCCAGGACTCTTCCCAGGGCAACTCCATCTTCCAGATCAATATGATCAAGTACATCAAAGAAAAGTACCCCAACCTCCAAGTCATCGGAGGCAATGGTAAGACCAGGACAGCGGCGCCTGTAGTTGGGGATTGCAGGGGCTGGGATCCCACCTGGACCCTCACGCGTGTCTGCCTTTTCCACACTGCAGTGGTGACTGCAGCCCAGGCCAAGAACCTCATCGACGCAGGTGTGGACGCCCTTCGGGTGGGCATGGGAAGTGGCTCCATCTGCATCACCCAGGAAGGTGAGAACATGCACCGGCAGGGCCTGGAGACTGGCTTCCGATCCCACGTGCCCCGGGGCCTAGCACTCTTACGGGAACTACACTGACTCTTCCAAGACGGGCAGCTCTTGGGCCAGACAGGCCTCTTGGATGGGTGATCTGGCTGGAAGCAAGACGAGTTCTCGTCATCCCTCACCTGCTACTTCCCCGCCTAGCCTGGCCTCCTTGCTCCTGCTCTGTGCCCTCTCTAAACTCTGGTCTGTTTGTTTTATTTAGTGGCTCCCAAGATCCCTCCAGACATAAAGTCCCACAGCCCCAAATGCCCTTCTACTGTCACGGGCTGCTATAGTAAGTCCGGCCCGGCCCAGCTGCCCACTGCCCGGCTGCTTGGTTGACTGTAGCTGTAGCTCTCAGGGTTTGTGGTGCTGATGGGTGGGCAGGGCAAACAGATGTACAGACCATGTTTGGGGCTGCTTAGGATCGCAGCTCCCTCCTCCTGGGTTGCTCAGAGCAGGACCTAGGCTTTCCCACATCTTAGGAGATAGGCATGGCGTGAGGACCTCCTCTGGAGCCTGCTCTCCCTTCCGTGTTACCGTTACCCTGATCTTGCCTGCGCTGCCCACTGTGCAGGGGAGCAGGGCTGGGCCCGACTCGGTGCCTCTGGGTACTAACCGCACGGAGACTCCTGCCCCGTCTTGCTACTAGCCGGGACTGCATGTGCCTGAGGCTGCCCTGGGCCCTGCACACATGCACGTGCGCACACAGCGTGAGGTCAGCACAGCTGTCTGTACGGTTCACAGCGGATGGGGCAGCAGCCATCCAGACACCTCATCAGTCAGCCTGTCATCCTGGTGCAGATGTAGCCAAGAGCTCCTGGGTACCGAGACTGGCTCGTTGCCTGTCTCACTAACCCCGTGCCTCTGTTGTCTATCAACAGTGTTGGCCTGTGGGAGGCCCCAAGCGACAGCAGTGTACAAGGTGTCCGAGTACGCAAGGCGCTTTGGCGTTCCTGTCATTGCCGACGGAGGAATTCAAAACGTGGGCCATATTGCCAAAGCTTTGGCCCTGGGGGCCTCCACAGGTGAGGTCCGGGGCCCCGGAGCCCGGTGCGACTCCTTCCCGCACCGTTCAGCCTGCCCCAAGCGCTTTTCTGTCCACAGTCATGATGGGCTCCCTACTGGCTGCCACCACGGAAGCCCCTGGGGAGTACTTCTTCTCCGATGGGATCCGGCTGAAGAAATACAGGGGCATGGGTTCCCTCGATGCCATGGACAAGCATCTCAGCAGCCAGAACCGCTACTTCAGGTGGGACAGGCGGACCGACGGCCCCGCCCTCGCCCTGCACGGCCCGAGTCTCACCGTTGGGACCCTGCCCATTTGCTTGCTTCCTCCCACAGCGAAGCTGACAAAATCAAAGTGGCCCAGGGGGTGTCGGGAGCCGTGCAGGACAAGGGGTCCATCCACAAGTTTGTCCCTTACTTGATTGCTGGCATCCAGCATTCCTGCCAGGACATTGGTGCCAAGAGCCTGACCCAAGTCCGGTGAGCTGGGGTGGCTGCGACGGGGTAGGGGGCTCTAAGGTCGGCTGCTGACCGGCCGCAGCTGACACCCACCCCTCTGCAGAGCCATGATGTACTCTGGGGAGCTGAAGTTTGAGAAGAGAACGTCCTCGGCCCAGGTGGAAGGCGGTGTGCACAGCCTTCACTCGTAAGTGCCCCTGGGCGGGAGCTTCTGCGTGCCTTGCCTGCGGTCTGCCTTACACTCATTAAGTGGTCTCTGCCTGCAGGTATGAGAAGCGGCTTTTCTGAAAAGGAATCCACCACACCTCCTTGGTTTTTCAATAAAAGTTTGGAAAATAAAGAGATGCCTGATCTTTGGAGTTAGCAGACATGTGGGGAGCCGCAGATCTCCCCAGTGCACGCATACAACACCCAGGTTCCCAAGGGGTGCCCTTGGGCTTACATAAGGACGCCCCACAAACCTAGGAGGTAGTTCTGGTTCGGAGTTCTTTGCTGGCTGGGAGCAGGGAGGAGTGGTTCCCTGGTCAGTCAGTGGACCTGGGATCTGCCTGGCTTCCTGCTAATCCCAAGACATAAACCAACACTCTAACTGAAATATCTAAAGCCTCATAGGGAGAGCCCCGGACTCCCTTCAGATCTGCACATGAGCAAGCAGACCTGGAACTGTGGCTTGGTTTTTTATCCCCCTATACCCTGTAAAGAGCCCAATGACACAACAGCCTATAGCAACACACCTGACACAAAGTAAGACAGGCATATAAATTATTATCCTGGTAAGCAGGACAGTGTTACACAGTGCCAGTGGGGAGAGGGTATGAGGCACTGCGAGTGCCAGCACTCTGCCAGGGCCAGCGCCTCTCACCACGGGTAGGTTCCTGGTGGTTCATTCCGCAGCCTGGGTGGGGTAAGTCAGTGAACGCTCTCCAGGTGGGGGGATGAGCGCAGCTCCTGTCACTCGGCCTTCATGACACAGGAAGTTGAAGGTGGCGCAGGCATTGGGCTGCAAAGGAAAGGCCAGCATTAGCCTGTCCGAGGGTAGGCCTGGCTTCCTGCCGCGTTTGCAAGTTGTAGGACTAACCGTATCCTGCACTTCCACGGCAATGCCTCGCTGCCGCATGGCCTGCAACACCAGGGAGCTCAGCCTCTCGGTCCTGTTTCCCGTGCCCACCACAACGATCTCTGGGGAGGGGAGGGAGGGGGTCATCTACAGCGAGGGCGTGAAGGTGGGCGTCCTCCGGCCTCGGCCCTGCCCTCGGCCTACCGATCCTGGGCTCCAGCATCCAGAAGAGGGCGAAGCTCTCCTCGGTGATGTCCCGGGGGGATCCCACCTGAGTGCGGGGGGCCGATTCAGCGAGTACAGGAGGACGCTCTCCCGGTCCCACCCACCGCCAGGCCGGGTGCACGCGGCGCGCCGAGGGGCGGGCGGCTCACGTTCCACTGCAGCACGGAGTGCGGGAGCAGCGCGCACGGCCCCAGCACGCGGGTGCCGCTGACCGCGAAGCCGTGGCTGCTGTAGCTGTCCACGTACATGGCGTGCGGGAGCTCGCGCTGCAGCAGGGAGATGCGCGTGCGCTGGTACAGCTCGTCGTCCGCCGGCGAGAGCCGGTGCCAGCGCCGCGGGGCCCTGCGGGGCGAGGGGCGGGTC